CAGATATTCCCTTAGTGAGGCCCTGTGTCTTTAGCGCCTCTTGGGACCTCATCTCAGCCCAGTGGAACTCTTATATACGATACAGAGCTAAAGATGCTGGAAAAATGGTCAGTTCCCTGTACCTCTCCAATAAGTATAATAATGAAATGATATTATCTTGGTGTTGGGGGTATTGAATTTTATCAGACAGTTCCATTGAGCGTTGTGCGTGTTCTGGTGTCAATAGTGCCATCCTAGTGTGTTTTCTGCCCGCAAATTCTTAGTTTTTGTGTTATTAAGTTTACGTTAGATGGCATAATGTTGTCATGTAGACTAGGTTACATTTGTTATTCGTGTACATTTGTGGCTAGACTGTTTTCATAAACCCTTCTAGAATTCGAATATTGGCAGAATTTACTTTCATCTGTCCAAATTACAGACTGTCAAAATTCATAATCTTTGCTCTCGAATTCTCTCGCCCAGTCCATACGCCAGTTTCTGTTAACCTCTGAAATCAAGGCTTTCTTTCTTACAACTCTTCTTTGATAGCCTAGTTCTTTCAAGCCACATATGGCAACATTTCTATGCTGTTTGATGCTCTGACAACGGTTTCTGATGACTTTCTTCTTCAGTGTCCTTTTCGTTCGCTCAGACACGATGTTTGGTCTTCCTGAACGTTGTTCCACACGACAACGGCCTTCTTCATTAATTTTCTTGACACTATTATTAACCTTTTGATGATTAACCTAGAAAAACCTGGCAATTTTTCTATTTGACTTGCCACACTGATGTCATCCTATTATTTGCCCTTGTTGAAATTCACCAATTTCCTTAATTCCGCGAACTTTCATTGCAAAATATACGTCAACTATCGTTCAGATTAGAGTAGCTTGATACTAACCCGGTATTGTCTGAAAAAAAAGAAGATACGTTATTACGTAAGCCAAAATTGCTGTAAGGGTGGCTAAAAACTTATTATAGCCCACTGTAAACGCAGTACTAGATTGGTAGATAGGTCATTATTTGACAGTTGAAATGGCTAGATGTAACCGTTAATTCTATGGTAACAGTTTTGCATTTCTCACTTGTGGAACTCTCTTCCGGTCTTTTGAATTCCAGACAACTTTTATCTTCAAAAATTAAAATTCAATGTATTATTGTTCTTTTATGGTAATCTCTCATTAAGAACGATTTTTTTCCTCATATTTTCTCACACTTAATAACACCTTACGTCTTAGTGACTTATTGTCTTAGTTTAAATGATTAAAAATTGCCACATCACATAGGAAGTTTTGAAAAGCCATGATAGAAAAAAAATTCCAACCGTCCTGGGTATGACGATAAACTACATCCACATCCTAGGTAATACGATAACATACGTCCAACAGCAAGGCCTCTGATCAGGAAGTTTTGAGGAGCGTGGAATCACCTCCTTATTGATGGTGTTCCCAGGTCCATCCTGACCCGGGGTGGTAGCACCTGTTAGGGTCTCAGCTATGGGTTAATAGTTAACCCTCAAACTGGGGTCAAAACATTATAGAAGTGTAAAATAGGTTTTAATACCAGAAATACTTTGTAAAAAATTATTATCAGCAAAATATTATTACCAGCAATATATGTTTGTAAAAGAATATTACCAGCAATATACTTTTCAGAAAAAATATTACCAGCAATACATTTTTGAAAAAAAAAGAAGTTATCAGCAATATATTTTTGAAAAAAATATTACCAGCAATAAATTTGTTAAAAAAGTTTTACCAGTTGTACATTTAAAAAAAAAAAAGTATTACCAGCAATAAGTTTTGGAAAAAAAAATTTACCAGCAATACATTTTTGAAAACAATTATCAGCAATATATTCTTGAAAAATAAAATAATATTACCAGCAATACATTTTTGAAGAAAAAATATTACCAGAAATAGATTTTTTGAAGGAAAAAATGTTTCCAGAAATAGATTTTTTGAAGGAAAAAATGTTTCCAGAAATAGATTTTTTGAAGGAAAAAATATTACCAGAAATAGATTTTTTGAAGGAAAAAATGTTTCCAGAAATAGATTTTTGAAGGAAAAATATTACCAGAAATAGATTTTTGAAGGAAAAATGTTTCCAGAAATAGATTTTTTGAAGGAAAAATATTACCAGAAATAGATTTTTTTTGAAGGAAAAATGTTTCAGAAATAGATTTTTTGAAGGAAAAATATTACCAGAAATAGATTTTTTGAAGGAAAAATGTTTCAGAAATAGATTTTTTGAAGGAAAAAATATTACCAGAAATAGATTTTTTGAAGGAAAAAATGTTTCCAGAAATAGATTTTTTGAAGGAAAAAATATTACCAGAAATAGATTTTTTGAAGGAAAAAATGTTTCCAGAAATAGATTTTTTGAAGGAAAAAATATTACCAGAAATAGATTTTTTGAAGGAAAAAATGTTTTCAGAAATAGATCTTTGAGGGAAAAATATATTAACAATAATACATATTTGAAAAAAAAAATATTACCAGCAATAAAAATTTTGTCGGCATTAAATAACTGATTGAGGTCGATATCCCGTTAAACAAAACAAACCAAAGCAAAAAGTCCACTTTGATCTTTAAAAATTTAAATGAAATTAAAGGCACAAAGAATCCCTCTCCTGGAGATTAACACCAGCCATGAAGATAAAAGTTAAAACGGGTTCAATCAGACATTTCAAAATACCAGTTTCGTTCTAGAGTCAAAAAAGTTACCCACCTCTTCTTATTTTCTGTTCATTTACGTTTTAATAATTCTTTTCATTTTCTCATATTCTATCAGACTCAGTCTTCCCTTGCGCCTTAGTGGCTTTATACCCTTATTTGCTTATTTGATACGCGACTACTCCAACCTTCATTGAATGCGGATATAATCTCTGCCGGTGTCGCTTATCTGTTTCCACAGAGAATACTAGACAGACGCCTCTGGTTTCGATTAATAATTACCCGTAGTCGGGCACTGTGATCTGCTAGACGGCCGGAAATGCCTTCTAGCAGGTAGTTCCGGTACAGACGCGACATCGAATGATGCTAAATTTCTCCACAATTTCAGAATTGAATTTCCCATATATATATATATATATATATATATATATATATATATATACACACAGTCATCTACAAAATGAGAAATTATATATATATATATATATATATATATAGATAGATAGATAGATAGATAGATAGATAAACCTAGTGAACAAGACAAACCTACCCAGGTTTCACCTAAACGGATCGTCAGGGAAAGTATTGAGCTCTTTTTGTTAGTTGTTTACTCGTGTCGGGGTTTTTTTTTTGGGCTTCAAACCTGCATTTGTGCGATTTTTTCGACAGACATTCATGTTTCTAGCTCTTTCTTTTTTAAAACCTTTTTTTTTTTTCCTTGAGATTGATTTGATTATTGGCAAATCAAAAATTCGAAGGTTTTTCGAAACGAGTATAGTTACCTATATTTATACGCACACACACACACACACATATATATATATATATATATAGATATGTGTGTGTGTGTGTAAATATATATATATATATATATATATATATATATATATATATATACTAACAATATGGCCTGGCGTTGCCCGTGCTTGATTCAAAAATCGCACGACTCATACGTCAATCGCTATCACTTGCCCTTCCTTGCCTTTAAAAGGAGTGCCCTTTGCCGTGCTGATTTTGCTACATGCCTTACTTCTTGCCTATTTCACACTGCATATTTTTTCTAAGCTCTATACTAAACATTAAATCTGTTACGAAACAAAATGAACACAAAACGATCAGCTTTAAAAAGGACTCGTAACTGGAAAAACCGAATGAAAAAAGAATGTTAACAACAAATTTTTTCACACCCAACCCAGTTCTGCGGAATCAGAATCAACGTTGAGTTTAAGCAAGCAGATGAGCCAATTGGAGTAAAGTGCCATGCAGATTTAAATTTTTCCCACTTGTGACGAATGCAGCTATCGATTTTTTCCATTCTAGCATCTAGTTAGCATTCGAGTCAGTCAGCTGTTGGCTCTCACGCTTGGCAATAGAATCTTCCTGCCTATTCGTGGCAGCCAGCTAGAGGGTCTCACTCTGGCCAGTAGAAAATGGCGGCAAAATACATGAAAACTGCCGTAGAAGCATGAAAAAATCGATTATTTCCACTATCGAAGGGAGTTGGGAAATGCAAAGCCGGTCTTGGCCTTCCCGCTAACTTGGAACATGTGCATGTAAATTTTGGTGCAAATCCGTCGAAAATTGCGGCCGTGCATTCACACACACACACACACACACACACACACACACACACACACACACACACACACACACACACATCCTGCTTTTTATAGATAGAAGAAGTGTGTGTGTGTGTCTGTGTGTATTTAATATCTCGTTTATATGTATATATATATATGTATATGTATATATGTATATATATGTATATATATATATATATATGTATATATATATATATGTATATATATATATATATATATATATATATATATATATATATATATATATATATATACATATATGCATATATGTATATATATGTGTATATATATATGTATATATATGTATATGTATATATATATGTATATATATATATCTTTATATATATATGTGTATATATGTATATATATGTAGATATTATATATGTGTATATATATATTTTTCTATATATATATATATATATATATATGTGTGTGTGTGTGTGTGTGTGTGTGTGTGTGTGTGTGTGTATTTTATCTCATTTTTGTAACCGAATTTGTGTTTCTTACGTCTTTGTATCTTTTTTAGGCTGATTTTTCCGTTTCTCTGTCTAGCTTTCTCTTTTACGAATATAACGAAAGCAGAAGGAGGAAAAGAAATAATAATAATAAAAAAAAAAGATATTTTCCAAAATGACGAAAGAGTGACGATCTGTTCTGTTAGGTTTAAAATAAACCAACGAAATGAAACTTGACTTCCATTTGTCATTGCTGTTCCCGTCTGACTTAAGACGTCTGCCTCGGTGTGATGCGTTTCGCACGTTCCTTTCTTCTTTATCTACACTCGTCTTTGAACCCCAGCGTCAGATTCACCGCCAAAATACACATGACTCAAAGAAAGTGGGACACTTCCCAGAGGACATTTCATTTTATTTTTATATTTCTCTTTCGTTATCTGTATTTATTTAGTTTTACGAATTTTCTCTTTTTTTTTCTTTTGTTGGCGACATCTATTCCCTGCGCCATCTTTGCTGGCCTTTCTTTTGTTGCTGGAGTTAAGAAAAAAAGTCAAGTGAAAGATGGCGAAGTAAAATAGAAAAGAACCATTGCCGACCCAACGACTTTTACTTACTTTGTTTTACTTACATCAGTTTCCCCAGATGCTTATTTCGTCCATGAGAAAAAGATTTTTTTTTTAACGGCTGAGTTTCTCGTTATTTATGTCGATTTTTCTTCCGTCTTTCTTTTACGTATCTATTTTTTTGCTTTTTTTTTCTACCTCCCGTCCGCCATTTTTCTTTGTGGTTTACGCTATGCATTTGGTTACTACAACTTTGTTTCCTTATCTCTCAATTTTCTTTATTTCTTCCTTTCCAACAATAGAATTTTCTTTCTTTCCAATAATAGAATTTTCTTTCTTTGTTTCATTATTCCTTTTTTTTTCCCAAGAATTTAATTTTCTTTCTTTCTTTTTCTTTCTTTCTTAAGAATTTAATTTTTTTCCTTCTTTTGTTTTTCCTTCTTTTTTTGGTTTTATTATTTGTTCTTTTTTTCTTCTTTTATTTCTTTCTTTCTTTCTTTCTTTTTCCTTTTCCTACTTTTTTCTTTTTGTTTGATTGTTTCTTTCTCTCTTTTCTTTTTATCTTCTTTCTCCATCTTTTTGCTTTCTTTCTTCGGTTTCCTTTTTCATCTTTATTTGTTTTATTTTTTAAAAATCTTTTTCAATTCTTATTTTCTTTATTTCTTCCTTACTACATTATTTCTCTTTGTTTGTTCCTTTCTTTCTCCTTTCTCCTTTTTGGCATGCACTTATCCTACACATACCTGTAAGCCTTCTTACCAGTACAGATTCCGCTTCCATTTTTTATTCATCTTCCGCCACCATTTTTCATTCATCTCGTTCGTGTTGTTAAGGCTTCCATCTTCTTTTCCTTCCGCCATTATTTCAATTTTTTTCGTTCTTCCAATTTTTTACTCTCTATTTTCTTGTTTGCCTTGTCGTCTGCTTTCTTCAGTTGTTGATCTCCGTCCAGCGTATAACCTGTAACCATTTTTTCTTATTACTGAGTTTCGAAAATGATTCATGTGTTGTTCCTCTTTTTCGTATGTTTACTCTTTAACCAGATGTTCTGTTTGTCTTTTTTTTTTTTCAAATTTTTCAATTTAAAAAAAAAAAATCCTGTATTCAACTCAATTTTGTCTTGCCTATTTTCTCCTCGTTTTTATCTATCACTTTACGATGCGGGCAGATGGTCTGCTACAATTATCTGTAGACAACAGGAAAACCAAAAGTCTCTTCAAGTAGAAAACTAAGCAATCCATTCGCAGGTGTAAAGGCTGTACTTGTAAATAGATTATCTCTCTCACCTGCACTCCTGTAAAGACTAATTGCTTCTCCTGTGAACTGTTTTAGTGGCCATTTTGGTTACAGTGTTTCTTTTTCTTTTCCCAAGAGACAAGACTGACAAATTTAGTACGTTTATTAAGCTATTCTTTTGGGCATATACATACTGTTATTAATCTTGAAGAACAGACATTGATTTTGAAATAAATTTTTAGGTTCTTTGGCTATTTTGGTCAAGAAAGTTCTATTTCACCTTGTAGCAACGGTATTCCTGGTGCCTAATATTGCCGTCTTTGTTTATTAATAAGCTTCTAAAATTGGTAGAATGGTTTGGCTTCTTTTGTTTTACGGCATATCAACCTCAATGGATTATTTAATGCCGACAAGATTTTTAGAATAGGTTCGTATGAATAGAATATATATTCTTTGTTTGTAGATCAGAGTTTGGGGTTATTTTGTTTTTTGGCATATCAACCATAAAGGGTTATTTAATGCCGACAATTTTTTTTTATTACTGGTAATATTTTTTTTTCAAAAACATATAGTTGATAAACTTTTATTTTTAAAATGTATAGCCAGTAATAGTTTTTTTTTTCTTCAAAAATATATTGCAGTTAATAATTTTTTACAAAGTATTTCTGGTATTAAAACCTATTTTTACACTTTCATAGTGTTTTGACCCCAGTTTGGGGGTTAACTATTTTCCCATAGCTGGAACCCTAACAGGTGCTACCACCCCGGGTCAGTGTGGACCTGGGAACACCAGCAATTAAGAGGTGGTTCCACGCTCCTCGAAATCTCCTGATCAGAGGCCTTGCTGCTGGTCGTAGTTTATCGTCTTACACAGGACGTGGATGTAGTTTATCGTCATACCCAGGACGGTAAAATTGGTAGAAAGAATCCGGACAAAGTATACTAATATCTGAAATATTACGTTTGATCGTAACAATAGACATTGGATCAAATGATATAAATTAGATCATTTTAACTCATTAAATAAACAACATGGACGCTATGTGGCCTTTAGAAATCAAATTTCAAACTAAGAAATGACGCTTGGTCAAGTTTAGATTATAAACATTCATTTTTATAGGTTTGATAGCAGATATTACCTGTCACGAAATAAAGAAAGGCCATTCCTTGAATAACTTGTAACCATTTTTTTTTCTTATTATTACTGGGCTAATTTAAATTATTCACTGATTATTTCTTGCATAAATTAAAAAAGCTACATCCCCTTAGATCATACAATATTCAAAATGGCTGTTAAATAATTTACTAACAAAAAAAAATCTTCTGTATATTTCCTTAAAACAGATGAAACTGCGTGAGAATTTTAGTAATAAAATAATAAAATATGCGCATTTTATCTGGCCATTTGTTTTTAAACACCCATCATAAGAAAATAAAGTTTTTTTTTCAGCACTAAAGCATGTTGAGTCAAATAAAGTTTCATAACATTTCTTTGGGAATAAACAAAAGAGTACTGAGCTGCTACATGACATCTGTACTCCTGTACGGCAGCAAATGTTGGCTGGTCTCCACAAAGACGAAAAAGAGACACGCGGCAACGGAGTTATGGTTCTACAGAAGGATGTTGAGGATATCATGGTCCAGGCATTTGAGCAACGATGAGGTTTTGGAGAGGATGCAAACAAGGTGGAAGCTTATACTTAACATCAGGAAGAGGCAGATGAAATTTCTGGGACACGTAATGAGAAAAGAAGAGACTCGAGGCAACGGAGGTATGGTTCTACAGAAGGATGTTGAGGATATCATGGTCCAGACATTTGAGCAACGATGAGGTTTTGGAGAGGATGCAAACAAGGTGGAAGCTTATACTTAACATCAGGAAGAGGCAGATGAAATTTCTGAGACACGATATGAGAAAAGAAGAGACTCGAGGCAACGGTGGTATGGTTCTACAGAAGGATGCTAAGGATATAATGACCCTAACATATTGGGATGTTCTAGACGCATTCCAAAACCTAGGCAGAGTATTACGAGAGGATTCTAGATGGTGACAAAGGAAAGAGTACGGAGCTCCTACGTGACATCTGTCCTCCTTTACGGCAGCAAATGTTGGATGGTCTCCTCAGATGCAACGGAGGTATGGTTCTACAGAAGGATGCTGAGGATATCATGGACCTAACATATGAGCAACGATGAGGTTATGGAGAGGATACAAACAAGGAGGAGGCTTATACTTAACATCAGGAAAAGGCAGCTGAAAGTTCCTGGGCACGTAATAAGAAAGGATGGCTTCGAGAGTTTGATACTCAAAGGTCGAATAGAGGGAAAGAGAGAGGTCTGACGCTCAACTTCTCGAGAGCAACTCCATGCGGCTGCTCGGTCTCACGTTGACTGCTGACCTGAGATGGAATAAATACATTGAGGCAATTGCTTCGTCCACCGCAAGTAAAGTTGGCTCCCTGATCCACGCCAGGAAGTTTTTCTCTCCGGAGTCGATCCTCCAGATCTACAAATCAACAATTCGCCCTTGCATGGAGTATTGCTGCCATATATGGTCTGGTGCCCCTTCTGTTTGCCTCGGGGTTCTTGATAGGCTCCAGAGGCGGATATGCAATATAGTTGGCCCTGCTCTGGCGTCTCGTCTACAATCACTTTCTCACAGACACGCCGTCGCCTCCCTCTGTCTGTTCTACAAATACTTTCATGGAAATTGCTCCGAGGAGCTGCATTCGCTGGTTCCCAGACGTCACGAGTTCCAGCGCCTTACGAGGCTGGCATCCCGCTCTCACCCTTTTACTGTCGAAACTCCTAAATATAGCCGTCTCTTCTACTCTAATAGCTTCATGTCTCGCACCCCTCGCCTGTGGAACTCCCTTCTCTGTTCCCGTTTCCCTGTGAGCTATAATCTCCAGCTATTCAAGTGTAATGTCAATCGACATCTCCAGTTGCCTTGATCTATTCACTACCCTCATCCTTTCTTCTATCACTCCTATCTGATCTTGCGCTAAACTTTCTTTTTGAAATTTCGAACCGAACCCTTTTCTTTTGCTCACCGGCGTAGATTATTCTAGTTCCACGTGCCGCGCCTCTTTCGGATGTCTCCGTTATTTTCCGTTAACTCTACTCTCCAAGTTAGTTTGGGTTCGCCACTGTTGTGGATTGGTGTTGAACTCACAACTCTTTCGGTCTAGTCACTGGATCTAACCAATACGTGGAGAGTTGAGTCAAAGGGGAAATAACTGAGTTATCCGGGCTGTTTCATGGATATATGCCATTGAGTAATAACTCAATGCCTTAGATCAGTGAAACAGCCGGTAATAAAAAAGAACATCGCGAACAACACACACACACACACACACACACACACACACACATTCTTCTCTCTCTCTCTCTCTCTCCCTATATATATATATATATATATATATATATATATATATATATATATATTTTAAGCATTACACCCCGAGCAAGGCGTGAAGCCACTAGGATGCAGGGGGGTTGCAGAAGATTTGGAGCGAGAGCAGATAGGAGGATAGAAGAAAGGATGAGGAGAAGGATAGTGGATAGATCAAGGTAACTGGAGATGTCGATTGACATTACATTTGAATAGTTGGAGATTATAGCTCTCAGGGAAACAGTAATAGGGAAGGGAGTTCCACAGGCGAGAGGTGCGAGGTATGAAGCTATTGGAGTAGAAGAGACGGCTACATTTAAAAGTTTCTACAGTGTAAGGGTGGGAGCGGGATGCCAGCCTCAGGGGCGCTTGAATTCATGGAGGCTGGGAACCAGTGAAAGCAGCTCATCGGAGCAATTACCATGAAAGTATTTGTAGAAAAAAGACAGAGAGAGGCGACGCGCGTCTGTGAGAGAGTGACTGTAGACGAGATGCCAGATCAGGGCCAATTATATTACATATCCGCCTCTGGACCTTGTCAAGAACTCCGAGGTAAACAGAAGGTGCCCCAGACCATATATGGGAGCAATGCTCCATGCAAGGGCGAATGGTTGATTTGTATATTTGAAGTATCGATTTCGGGGAGAAAAACTTCTCGGCGCGGCACAGAGAGCCAACTTTCCTCGCGTTGGACGAAGCAATTGATTCAATGTATTTGTTCCATATATATATATAATTAATACACGTAAAAGGTTTGTCACTAGGCTTATTGGTGTTACCTTAGACTCCAGAGTTTAGTAGGCTCAACTTCCGGAATCAATCCGTCCACTCGTCAGGGGGTATCAGTAATTAACTGTTCTTCTCGATTTTTTTTATGTGCACTTGACGTACGTTTTTTTTTTTTTGTAATCAATGTGTATGTATGTGTGTTGTGTGTTCGTCACCATAGGCCCATGCGTCCGTCTGAGCGTATGTTCTTACGTCTAGAATGTCGTGGTTATTTGTACTTTTCGCCGTTCTTTTTCACATTTTTTTTATTTTTACTTCTCTCTCTTTTTCCTTTCTCTTTCATTTATAGCCATTTTGATTTCCGGTTTTCTAGACATATACTGTTCTTGTTAATTCTTGTGTGTGCTAGTGTTTTCTTGAGTTAGGAAAATTGTATTTAATTTTTTATATAAATATATACTTTTTAATGCTTAGATAATAAGGTAATTTGATTTGGTGGTATCTTAAGTATTAGAGCGTTAATTATAGTAGGTTATGTTTATAATTAAATTTTTTATTTATTATTGTATGCATTTTTATGCATATGATTAGATTCATACGTTTAGCAGATATATATGTATATACATATATAAATATGCTCACATGCTCATACGTATTCATATGTGTATACAAACACGCGCAAACAAACACATGTAAACGAGAATAAAGATAAACAGAAAGCGACACCTAATGTTTAAAATACTTCTAAAATCTTTCTGGAAGCTTTTATTTTACTTTTAATCCAAGATTAACGTAATTAGACATTTCCAATAATCAAATTACTTTGCTGCATTTCAAACCAAATTTAAATTATTGGAATTATTTTTCTATCAGTAAAATCTATAAAATCGACCATATTGACAATTCTGTCAACACAACATAATTATCTTTATTAAAAAATTTTTTTCGAAATTATTTTCTTAAGACGTTCGTATCTTATTCATGAAAGCAATTAAAATCTTTTCTAAATAAATAATGACATAGTTTTATTGGATTCTTTTTTTTATTTTATGATTCAGAGCAGATTTTCTGCAAATGGAGGTCCACTTTCACCAAAAGAAAATTGATGATCTAAATTCTCCAAGGACTTGTCCTTATAACTAATATAAACATGAAACAGTACAAAAAATAATTTCTCAATTTCATGAAATAAAAAATAATGAGGACGTATGTTTAATATATATATATATATATATATATATATATATTAGTTTAGATAGATGTGAGTTTGTGACCCTGGGTTTCACGCTTGAGCGATCGTCAGCCAGGGTCATAAACTCACATCTATCCAACCAAATATCTATCTCTGATATTGAGCGCTTTCTAGTAAGTACCGCGCATATAATATATAAATAATTATACATATATATATATATTTATTTATATTTATATACACTTTTCACACACACACACACACACACACACACACACACACACACACACACACACACACACATACATATATATATATATATATAACATATTTTTACATAGATTTTCTAAAAAAATAATTTCATTCATTTGTATATCTTGAAAATTTCAGTAAAATCTGACAATTATCCATTTTTGCAAGAATTTTCAAATCATTATGAATCAATAGCTGCATTTACTGTTAAGAATGTTGATTCACTGTGTCACACGAGGAAATGTTTTCTCATCAGAATACATTAGGCACATTTATAAATGTATAAATTTACCATTCATACGTGTATTGAATACTGCCTATATCTCTGAGATGAGGTATCATGATTACCTGAATTATTTACATTATTTCGACTGTTATCTTCATTGCCATATTCACAACATTTCGGCCGTTGTATTCTCCGGCCTTTATGTCATATTTCTCTGTCTATATCTCTGAGATGAGGTATTATGATTACTTGCATTATTTACATTATTCGGACTGTTATCCTCATCTTCATTGCCACATTCACAGTGTTTCGGCCGTTGTACGCTCCGGCCTTTATGTCATATTTCTCTGTCTATATCCCTGAGATAATGTATTATGATAACATGCATTATTTATATTATTCGGACTGTTATCCCCATCCTCATTGCCATATTCACAAATTTCGAACTGAACCCTTTATTTCTTCCACAGGGGGAAGATTGTTCTAGTTCCACGTGCCATGCCTCTTCCGGATGTCTCAGTTATCTCCATTTAACTCAACTCTCCAAGTTTTTGGTTCACCACTGCCGTGGCCTGGTATTGAACTCGCAACTCTTTGGGTCTAGTCACCTGATCTAACCAACATCTTTCCTTATGTGTTCACATTTTTGGCGAATTTTGGAGGTTTCTACTTCGAATGCACTAGTTGTGTATTGTTGGTTGCGTGCTATTGTAGTTTGTTTATTTATATATATATATATATATATATATATATAAGGCTCAAACACACTACTGTTCCATGGTTATAATTTATTACATTGGAATCGTAATCACGAAAAAAAAAAAAAAACATTGAAAATGCACTTTTCCCACAATTCTCTACGATCAACCTTAGACCGGCCTAATACAAAATAAAGCACACATGCAGCAATATTGACTAACGAAGAAAACATAAAAAAAAGGATAAAAAACCGAAATTTACTTGGAGTGTGCTTAATTTAAAATCAACCAGACGTATAAAAAATGTAAAAAAAGTATCTATCTATCTATCTATCTATCTATCTATCTATCTATCTATCCCTCTCTCTCTCTCTCTCTCTATATATATATATATATATATATATATATATATATGTATATGTAAATCATCAACACTCTATTCGCAAACTAAGATGATGATTTTCATTATTTCTTCTCAATATTTTAACGCCCTTTCCTCACACATGGGTTTGTCACTCATTACATCCTTTTAGCGGGTAAACATTGTTAATTGAAGCTATAAATCAACTCATAGAAACTTTCATTGCCTAAGCTGGCTAAAGTTTGTGTTTGAAGTCAGTTTTCGTAATTGACCTCTGACACCCAAAGTGCTAATATCAACATAATCAGGTTCTCTTGGCGCTCTATAATGATAGCCTTGTGCTTTTAGACGGATAGATAGATTGAAAGATAGATCGTGCCGTTTGTCGAAGACAGTTACGCGTTTGGTTTCGTTCTGTGTACTCATTTTCCTCTCTGATCTGCGTCATTTTTGGTTAAAAGGCATGCCAGTTCGGGAAAAATATATTTAAAAAAATCATTTCACCCCTTTCAAGGCAGTAAAGCCACTAAGATACAATAGATGATCTGTCTCTTACTGTTACATGCCCGGGCAACGCCGGGCTCTACTGCTAGTTTATATATAAACACACGCACGAACACTGACGATACGGAAAAAAAATCTTACACCCATTATAAGTGTATGAAAAAGAAACAAATCGAAAAATATGAGCAATTAATTGTTGATACGCTCTGAAAAGTGGACAGACAAAAACGTCTACGAAATTCTGGAGTCGGCTTTTAAAGTAACATCAGTTAGCTAAGAGACAAACTTTTACTTAAAGTAATTCTATCTATCTATCTATCTATCTATCTATCTATCTATCTATCTATCTATCTATCCCAGTCGTTTCTTTCTATCTATTTATCTATCTATCTATGTCTTCATTTTTATATCTATCTATCTATCTATCTATCTATATACACATACATGCACACAAACTCACACACACATATATATATATATATGTATATATATAAATAATATGTAGAGCTTCTTTACACACACACACACACACACACACACACACACACACACACACACACACACACACACACACATATATATATATATATATATATAAAGCTCAACATATTATTTTTACTTTTGTTTTTTTCACACGTGAATTAAGCACTTTTTAATACTGCTGTTTCCTGGTCTGATTCAACTCTGACCATTACCCTTTTATGCATCATATATATATATATATATATATATATATATATATATATATATATATATGTGTGTGTGTGTGTGTGTGTGTGTGTGTGTGTGTGTGTGTGCATAGGAATTGATGGCTTTAATCCAAAACTTTTCGGTTACCTTTTATTCAAACAGCGCAACAAATAATGGTGTCCATCTCGAGGAAAAAAAAATGCCCCACATGTCAAGTGGCTGAATGTTGACACTTGATTTTCAAAACCACTTTTTTTTGGGAGCCTTTATGTTTTTGTATCAATAGTTGCATCTGGCTTCTCTTAATTTGCTAAAACACAACTTCCCAACAAAAGGGACCTATCTGACACAAAGGTGAGGTGATATATTGTGATGAAGACGGGGTTGGAATTTGGTCGTTAAGAGTTTGACTTTGGACTGGCACTTTCGGGAATCGGCGTTTGTCCAGCGGAATAAAAATGGCCTTTCACATGATCATCCATTACGAGAGAAAAACACTTGTCAATTAGGACGGAGCCAATCTATGGACTAACATGTCGATGTCTACAAAAAGCTAACCTCGTGCGATATAACGTAATATGATCAACAGGAATAACATATCACACTGATAACCCAAGTGGATAGAACCTGCCTTGAAAATCGGCATTCAACATCCTGGGCACATACTTTGGCTCGGTCATAGCTCGACGGAAGCGAAAGCAAATACTCAACTACCTTCAAGATCTATCTATATTTCTGTGAAGAGGTATTATGTACACTATTTAAATTATTCGAACTATTGTCCCCATCTTTGTCGCCATATTTATTACAACGTTTCGGCCTTTCAGTATCTGTCTATATTTCTGTGAAGAGGTATTATGTACACTATTTAAATTATTCGGACTATTGTGCTCATCTTTGCCGCCATATTTATTACAACGTTTCGGCCTTTCAGTATCTGTCTATATTTCTGAGATGAGGTATTATGTACACTATTTACATTATTCGGACTATTGTCCTCATCTTTGTCGCCATATTTATTACAACGTTTCGGCCTTTCAGTATCTGTCTATATTTCTGAGATGAGGTATTATGTACACTATTTACATTATTCGGACTATTGTCATCATCTTTATCGCCATATTTTATTACAACGTTTCTGGCCTTTCAGTATCTGTCTATATTTATGAGATGAGGTATTATGTACACTATTTACATTATTTGGACTATTGTTCTCATCTTTGTCGCCATATTTATTACAACGTTTCGGCCTTTCAGTATCTGTCTATATTTCTGAGATGAGGTATTATGTACACTATTTACATTATTTGGACTATTGTCCTCATCTTTGTCGCCATATTTATTACAACGTTTCGGCCTTTCAGTATCTGTCTATATTTATGTGAAGAGGTATTATGTACACTATTTAAATTATTCGGACTATTGTCCTCATCTTTGCCGCCATATTTATTACAACGTTTCGGCCTTTCAGTATCTGTCTATATTTCTGAGATGAGGTATTATGTACACTATTTACATTATTCGGACTATTGTCCTCATCTTTGTCGCCATATTTATGACAACGTTTCGGCCTTTCAGTATCTGTCTATATTTCTGTGATGAGGTATTATGCACACTATTTACATTATTCGGACTATTGTCCTCGTCTTTGTCGCCATATTTATCACAACATTTCGGCCGTTTTACGCTCTGGCCTTCTTCAGGTGATTGGAATGTCGAACTGAACCCTTTATTTCGCTCACTAGGGTAGACTATTCTAGTTCCACGTGCCATGTCTAATGGATGTCCATTGTCAGTTATCTCCTGTTAATTCCCCTCTAAAAGTTCTCTATCGCCTTAAACAGGTATTGAACTCACAACTCTTTCGGTCCCGTCACCAACCACGTGATATATTTTTCAATCTAAAGGCTCAGAGATATAATAAATGCAAATATCAGTGTGTCACACTATTTCAACTATACTCCTAGAGGCCGTAGCCCAACATATCATACCATTTTGGAATTAGGCCACCTCCATGAGCAAATCAAAAACATTCCAGACTGGATCCAGACCCGCAATGCGGAAATTTTGGATTCGCAAGGTTTCATTACGATTTTCTTTACGTGATTTTTTGCAACAAATTTTTTGCACAATAACAATTTTTATAACTTGGAAATAAATTTGGGAGTAATCAAAATTAATTACAAAATCCGGAGGAAGTTGCCCATGCAATAAAAATAATTGTTTGTACAGAAAGTAAAGACCTACATACATCAAATTTTAAGTGGTGGCCGAAAAATTATCGGATTATTGAATGTTATTTAGTTTGGTGGTATCTTAAGTATTAAGTTTAGGAAGTTAGGTTTATAATTAAATTAAATAAAAAAAAATAATTGTTTGTACGGAAAGTAAGGACCTACGTACATAAAATTGTCTTGAAAATTATGGTTATATTCTTAGCGTAGATTAGATTTGGCAAAAAGCCGAAAATATGGAGTATTTAGTGAGAATCGAACTCACTTTTCAGTCATAAATGATATAGCGAGACAAGCTTGCTAACCATTACACCACACCGACATCCCCAAATTCTTGAAAATTATGTGGTATCAGAAGAATTATCGTTGATCATTTGAAAGGTAAGCTTAAATATATTATGCAATACTTAAATGCAGCCATCAATTTTAAGTTCTTCTGTAGTTTATTGTTGCCTATCACATCTACTCCTCGCTGCCTATTTTGATGAAGGCCCAATCAAGTGCTTTCCGCAGGAGGTAACTTAAATGCCGACCGTTAGGGCGGCTTTTAAGCTTTTATATATAAATTATTTATATATAAATATTTAGAAAAATATGAGAAACTGGCAAAATTTTTGTGACGCTTTTTATCCGTTAGGATTTAATCCGATGAAACACGTTACAAGAATTTTTTTCAGTTTCTCATATCTTTCTAAATATTTCTTGTTGATATATAAATTTATATATCGTTATATGATATATAAGTTTATACTTTCTCTCCCTCCGCTCCCCCATCTCTCTCTCTCTCTCTATCTATCTATCTATATATATATACCTTTTTTTCGGTGAGTAACAAAATGCATACTTATTAATATGTATTTCATAGCTCTGCACCATTTTTTAACGCCAGCACTCAATGTGCGATACTATATATATATATATATATATATATATATATATATACTCGACTCTCCCGTCGAATTCAACGTATAAGGGTCAAGCAGATCAGTTCCGAGGAAATCGACAGCCCGACAACAGCACATGAGATTTGATTATAGTGGTGAAGGTTTCGTGCAGGACCATCCACACTTTTTGAAGGGCCAAATACAGAGACCTGGTGCACTAAGTGCCACAAGGTCCCCAAACGACCCTCCGCAGGTTTTGAATTCAGAGTTGTCCTTCGCCTAGACCAGTTGCCATCCAAGGCTATAGAACCCAGTCTGTCCTGCTAATTTACCCATAGCTGGAGGGAGAAGAAGAGGATTCATACCTTTCCCAAGGGTATTAGCACGTAAGTGAATGTAATGGATTCAACCTGGATTCGAACTCGGCTCTCCGATTCCTCAATCATCGAGTCTATAAAAGAATCCTCAACAGAATACAGAAAGCTCTGGACAACCGTTTCGTTCTATTTGGGACACATCAGCAGTGTGTATCCACTACATTGCCAAGAATCGAACCCGGACCGTTACAAGACAACGCAAGCGTCATACCACTGGAGCAACGGGTCCAGTGATATAGATCAAGCAAGGATATACACGTGATAGAAATTTTGGGGGGATTCGAATAATCATTTATAGTAAATCATCGAGTCTGGAATAATCCTCCAGCTCCTATTGATCTGGAGAGTTTCGAATACTTGGAGGAGTATCACCACGATAGTTAGTAAGTAGTCTAGCTGTTTTGTCACCAAGGGTTGATGGTCCTGTGGTATCACGCTTGCGATACACACACACACACACGCAAATATATATATATATATATATATATATATATATATATATATATATATATATATATTAGTCAATGTCAAACAATTATTTTAAAGACATTTTTATGTTTATACATTCTTTTTATAGATACAAATAATATTTAAGTAAATGCATTTACTTAAATATTTGGATTCATAAAAAGAATGCATAAACATAAAAATGTCTTAATATATATATATATATATATATATATATATATATATATATATTAGTGGAAAATATACATACATATGCAATATATATATATATAAAAAAAATACCCATACATGTATATTTTCAGAAAAAAAATTTCCAAGAGGAAGAATCCAGGTAAACTCAATGTCTAGGACAGAGTATATATATAAAAGGCTTAAACACTAATATTCCATAGTGTTTAAGCCTTTTTATATATATATATATATATATATATATATATATATATATATATATATATACTAATGTACATTGAGCGCTGGTTTTAATAAAATAGTTCTGATATATAATAACAAAAGTATAATTTCTCCTCATCAGTAGCACAATACTGTTTTTTATGTTTATACGTTCTTTTTATAGATACAAATATTTAAGTAAATGCTCTGTTTATAATAAACAGTATTAAACAACATTTAAGATAAACAAATAATAATAATAGACAAGAACGGCTATAAAGAGGGAGGATCAAGTCTACATTACAATAAAAATACAGCAAAAAGACTTCTTCTTCTTCTTCTTCTTCCTTCACATTTTTCTTCTTTCTATAGTCCCTTGATTCTTTCTTTCTTTCTTTTTTCACAAGTTTCTTCTCCTTTCTATAGTCCCTTGGTTCTTTCTTTCTTTCTTTCATCATTACACAAAACGTCTTCTTTTTCTTCTCTTCATCCTCTCCTTTCATCTTCTCCTTCCCCTCCTCCTTCTTCATATTAAAATTTTTCCGCTTCCTTTCTTTGTTTCTTTCTTCTTCTTCTTCTACTTCTTTCACATGTTTCTTCTCTCTATAGTCCCTTGGTTCTTTCTTTCTTTCTTTCTTTCTTTCTTAATTACACTACAAGTCTTATTCTTTTTTTTCTCATCCTCTCCTTTCTTCTTCTTTTCTTCCTCCTCCTCCTTCTCCTCCTGTTTCTTCTTCTTCTTCTTCTTCTTCTTTCTAAAGTCCCCTCTTTCTTTCTTTTCTTTTCTTTCTTTCTTTCTTTCTTTCTTTCTTCTTTTCTTTTCTTTCTTTCTTTCTTCTTTCTTTTTTTCTTTCTTTCTTTTTCCATAATACGCACTCTTTCTTTCTTCTTTTGTTATTCTTTTCATTGATTTTCCTCCTCAATTTTCTATAAAAATTTTCCTCTTCCTTTCTTTGTTTCTTCTTCTTCTTCTTCTTCTTCTTCTTCTTCTTCTTCTCTCTATAGTCCCTTGGTTCTTTCTTTCTTCTTTCTTCATTACACTAAAAGTCTTATTCTTTTTCTTCTCATCCTCTCTTTTCTTCTACTTATCCGCCTCCTCCTCCTCCTTCTTCTTCTTCTTCTTCTTCTTTCACACGTTTCTTCTTCTTTCTAAAGTCCCCTCTTTCTTTCTTTCTTTCTTTCTTTCTTAATTACACTACAAGTCTTCTTCTTTTCTTCCTCCTCCTCCTCCTCCTTCTCCTCCTGTTTCTTCTTCTTCTTTTTCTTCTTCTTTCTAAAGTCCCCTCTTTCTTTCTTTCTTTCTTTCTTTCTTTCTTTCTTTCCATAATACGCACTCTTCTTTCTTCTTTGTTATTCTTTTTCATTGCCTTTCCTCCTCAATTTTCTATAAAAATTTTCCTCTTCCTTTCTTTGTTTCTTCTTCTTCTTCTTCTTCTTCTTCTTCTTCTTCTTCTTCTTCTTCTATAGTCCCTTGGTTCTTTCTTTCTTCTTTCTTCATTACACTAAAAGTCTTATTCTTTTTCTTCTCATCCTCTCTTTTCTTCTACTTATCCGCCTCCTCCTCCTTCTTCTTCTTCTTTCACACGTTTCTTCTTCTTTCTAAAGTCCCCTCTTTCTTTCTTTCTTTCTTTCTTTCTTTCTTTCTTTCCATCATACACACTCTTCTTTCTTCTTTGTTATTCATTTTCATTGCCTTTCCTCCTCAACTTTCTATAAAAATTTTCCTCTTCCTTTCTTTGTTTCTTTCTTCTTCATCTTTTCTCTTTTCTCTCTTCTTCTTCCTCTTCTTCTTCTTCTTCTTTACATTATTGTTTTTTTTGATGTCCTTTTATTATTGTCAAACGTTTTCGTCAAAGACTTTACTTTTGCTTGGCCTTTTCTTTTGTCTTTTCCTTTTCTGCTCTCAATCCTCAGCCATTTTTTTTACAAACCCTCTCTACCCTTCCCCGCCACCCTCTCTCTCACGCTCTCTCAGATTTCCTCTTGTTAACGCAAGAGAAGAAAAAAAAACAAAGCAATCGCTTTGATGCTCATCATACAAATCAATATCTCCTCAAAAGTACAGTAAGCTAAGTTGTGAGCAGTGTGATCTAAAGGCCGGAATGTCTTCTTCCCCATAAAAAAAAAGGGCTGATCAAGTTGTTATTTAGTCAAACCCAAGGCAAAGATTAGCAAAAGAAAATGTTTCATGCTTTGAGTCAGGCCTTGTGATGAAAACTTTATCAAAGGGAGATAATCCAACCAAAGGAATGAATTCCTATTGAAACCATTAATAAATAGTAATGGTTGCATGTTTAAAGCTGTTTTCAAAATACCTTATCTATCTATCTATCTATCTATCTATCTATCTATCTATCTATGTCTGTCTGATCGTATCTATCTATCTATCTATCTATCTATCTATCTATCTATCTATGTCGGTCTGCTCGCATCTATCTATCTATCTATCTATCTATCTATCTATCTATCTATCTATCTATGTCGGTCTGCTCGCATCTATCAATCTATCTATCTATCTATCTATCTATCTATCTATGTTGGTCTGCTCGCATCTATCTATCTATCTATCTATCTATCTATGTCGGTCTGCTCGCATCTATCTATCATCCATCCATCTATCTATCTATCTATCTATCTATCTATGTCCATCCGCTCGCATCCATCTTTCATCCATCCATCCATCCATCCATCCATCCATCCATGCCCCATCCCGCCCGCATCCATCCATCCATCCATCCATCCATGTCAAAACACCATCCATCCATCCATCCATCCATCCATCTATCTATCCATCCATCCATCCATCCATCCATGCCTGTCCGCCCGCATCCATCCATCTATCCATCCATCCATCCATCCATCCATCCATTTATGCCCATCTGCCCGCATCCATCCATCCATCCATCCATGCTCCATCCTGTTCGCATCCATCCATCCATCCATCCATCCATCCATCCATGTCCATCCGCTCGCATCCATCCATCCATCTATCCATCCATCCATCAAAAACACCATCTATCCATCCATCCATCTATCCATCTATCCATCTATCTATGTCGGTCTGCTCGCATCCATCCATCCATCCATCCATCTATCTATCTATCCATCTATCTATCTATCTATGTCGGTCTGCTCGCATCTATCTATCTATCTATGTCGGTCTGCTCGCATCTATCTATCTATCTATCTATCTATCTATCTATCTATGTCGGTCTGCTCGCATCTATCTATCTATCTATCTATGTCCGTCTGCTAGTATCTATCTGTCTCTCACTTTCTCTCTCTCTTACTCTCTCTCTCTCTTTATCTATCTATCTATCTATCTATCTATCTATCTATCTATCTATCTATGTCGGTCTGCTCGCATCTATCTATCTATCTATGTCGGTCTGCTCGCATCTATCTATCTATCTATCTATCTATGTCGGTCTGCTCGCATCTATCTATCTATCTATCTATCTAAGTCCGTCTGCTAGTATCTATCTGTCTCTCACTTTCTCTCTCTCTTACTCTCTCTCTCTCTTTATCTATCTATCTATCTATCTATCTATCTATCTATCTATCTATCTATCTCTTCCTTTTCATTTCTATCTATCTATCATTATCATTATTTTCGTTACATACATTTGGACTAATCTCCTCATCTTTGTTGCTATTATCACAACCTATCGGCCGTTTTGCCATTCGGCCTTCTTCAGATATATGCTGATTCTGGAAACCTACAGTAAATTTTGAACTGCACACTTTATTAAATCTACAGCTGTATATTGTTCTCGTTTCGCTCCCTGTGTCTTTAATCGTTTTACTACTTTGTTGTTGCTCTTCTTCTTCTTCTTCTTCTTCTTCTTCTTCTTCTTCTTCTTCTTCTTCTTTCTTACCTTCTCCATATCTCTTTTTATTCTCAAAGATCTTCTTTTCTTTTTCGTCTTCTTTTTTTTCTCTTCTTCTTCTTCTTCTTCTTCTTCTTTTCTTCTTCTTTTTCTTCTTCCTTTTCTTTTTCTTTTTCTTCTTTTTCTCTTCTTCTTCTTCTCTTCTTTTCTTCTTCTTTTTCTTCTTCCTTTTCTTCTACTTTTTCTTCTTTTTTTTCTTTTTCTGCTTTTTCTTCCTTTTCTTCTTTTTCTTTTTCTCTTCTTTTTCTTCTTTTCTTCTTCTTTTCTTTTTTCTCCTACTTTTTCTTTTCTTCTTTTTTTTTCTTCTTCTGATTTTTCTTCCTTTTCTTCTTCTTTTCTTTCTTTTTCTCTTTTTCTTCTTCTTCTTCTCTTTCTTCTACTCTTTCTTTTTCTTCTTCTTTTTCTTCTTTTTCTCCATCTTTTTCTCGTCTTCTTTTCTTCTTCTTTTTCTTCGACTTTTTCTTTTTCTCCTCCTTTTTCTCTTCTTTTTTCTTCTTCTGCTTCTTCTTCCTTTTATTCTTCTTCTCCTTCTTTTTCTCTTCTTCTTCTTCTTTTTTCTTCTTTTTCTTCTTCTTTTTCTTTTTTTCTTCTCCTTTTTCTCTTCTTCTTTTTTTTCTTCTTTTGCTTCTTCTTCCTTTTTTCTTCTTCTCCTTCTTTTTCTCTTCTTCTTGTTCTTATTTTTTCTTCTTTTTCTTCTTCTTTTTCTACTACTTTTTCTTTTTTCTCCTCCTTTTTCTCCTTTTCTTCTTCTTTTTCTTCTTCTTTTTATTGTTCTACCCCTTTTTTCATTGTTCATCTGTTTTCTCTTCATCGGTTTTTTTTCTTGTTTTTCTTATTGTTAGTATATTTCTTCTTTTCACGAGCCATCTAAATTTCCACTGACATAAGTGTCATCATCGTGAAGTGCATATATATATATATATATATATATATATATATATATATATATATATATATATATATATATTTTTTTTTATTTAGGCAGCAGTCCTACTCTCATGAACATTTCATTGAATACGACAGACAAGTTTTTTAATACAATTTCTGATGTGATCTTATGATTTTTTTCTTTTCCGTAGACAAATTATATAAAAAATGTCCAATTGTTTTTTTTTTGTTTTTTTTTTGTAACCGTGCGCTTTCGGATATACATTTAGCCATTTTGAAGATTGAAATATAATAACTGTTAACTCGAAATAGATTATTGTATGTATGTATTTATATAATGGAAGCCTTATTAAGAAAAAAAAAACACTCAATAATATCAACTATGAACAAGGACACAATATCCTGACCGTGTTTTTAAAATGAAAACATTATATAAATACATACACGCAACAAACTCTTTCTATATAAATACATACAGATATGCTGTGTCGTGCTAGACAATTTTTAATCTTAAACATTCATGAGTCTATCTCAGTCTGTTTGTATGTATGTATGCATGCATGTATGTATGTATGCATCTATCTATCTATCTATCTATCTATCTATCTATCTATCTATCTATCTCAGTCTGTTCATATCTATCTATCTATCTATCTATCTATCTATAAAAGGCAGGATGTGTGTGTGTGTGTGTGTGTGTGTGTGTGTGTGTGTGTGTGTGTGTGTGTGTGTGTGTGTAACGAATGCACGGCCGCAATTTTCGACGGATTTACATGCACATGCTCCAAGTTAGCCGGAATGACAAGACCGACTTTGCATTTCCCAACTCCCATCGATAGTGGAAATAATCGATTTTTTCATGCTTCTACGGCAGTTTTCATGTAGTTTTCCGCCATTTTCTACTGGCCTGAGTGAGAGCCTATAGCTGGCTGCCACGAATAGGCAGAAAGATTCCATTGGCCAGCGTGAGAGCCAACATCTGACTGACACGAATGTTAACTAGCGCATGCTAGTTAACATTAAAAAAAAAATCATGCAAAAAAAAAAAAAGCATGCAAAAAAAAATCGATAGCTGCATCCGTCACAAGTGG